CCATTCCCACCCTCATGCTCTCATATGCACTTACTCCACACTCAACCAACGTGGAGACAGACATAAAGAGACGCTGTACACACGATCACACTCCCCAAGCGTACTCTACGAACCGGGTCTAGGTGCCCCCGCCCCTGGAGGGGGGAACTGCACCCAGACCCAGGTGGTGTTTCCCTTTTCCCTGCGGTGGGGGGAGGCAGACCGCCCCGACTCCGCAGCAGCAGGAAGGCTCCACACTCCAGACCGCAGTCGGACGGCCAACTCCTCCTCCTAGTCCTAGCCCCCCTGCTCCAGCAGGTCGCAGAGAACGGGGGTGAGAGAAGACTCCAAACCTCCCTCCACCCGCTCATTGTAGTGTTGATGCATGTGTGTTCTAAGGTGCATTTAAAACCCAGGAGGGCATGGAGCTACCTGCCAGAGAGCAGCAGGTAAGCGCATGGTCCCTACTGCTAGCCCTCAATGTCTACGTGTATTTAAAATTGAGAGGTGGGCAACGACGCCAGGGGTGAGGTGTACACCCTGATGGTACTTTGGACTCCGTGTATCGTGCCCACCCCCAAGATCCTATATGTATGTGTAATGAGAGTGTGAGTAATGTGAATGTCTAAGTTGTGGGATAAAATTGAGGCAGAGGCAGCCAGAAGGGGACGGGGACGGGGGGGGGGGGGGGGGGGGGGTAGCCTCCTCTGCACCCTGGTGACATACCCCTACTCCAAGGCCCTGCATGTGTGGGTGGTTGTGGTGGAGCGGGAAGAGGGAGGCAGCTGGAGATGGGGAGGGAAGGAAGGGAGGGGCAAGTGACCCCTCCCTGGGGCCAGCTCCCCGCTGACCCCAGTAGGCACCCCCATACTCCGCGACCCGCCAGGGAAAGGGGGCCCAGGCCCATCAGACCGGGCCCAGTGCAGCAGCGCCGCCCGGCCCCACAGAGCCCGGGACAGTCCACCTGCAATCTGCTTTCTATAACAGTTAAGGAGGCAGGTTACTAGGGTGTCCCAACATTGAGATCAAAAGTTACTATTTTTATGTGTTTTCCTTTGCTTTCATTTGTTGTTCTTTTCTACAATTGTAAATCGCCTTTAACCTGTGGTTGTCAAACTCGTGCTTTATTTCACTAAAGCCGGTTTGTTCTTTTGAGTTACATTCCTGTCTCTGTGTCTCATTAAAACACATCCCTGTGCTTCTATAGTCGAACCTATTGGCCCATTAATATATTCTTTAATTAATAATAATTAATATTGTTTTTTCCTGTTACTGTGTTACACAACCATGTCCAGGTACAGTACACAATGTTCCTGCTTAAACGGTGCTCAAACCGGTGCTTAAAGAATGAGAACACAAACTTGGTCCAAAAACCTCTCATGTTCAGCTGTTTTTGGTAAAAAGATAACAATGTTAGCCTTTTCTGCAGCTATGGGGCATATATGGTATCACTCTTGGCTGGAAGCAGTGCTTAAACAATGGAAAAAACACAAACTTTGTCCTAAACCTCTCATGTTCAGCTGTTTTCCACTTTTTCTTTGGTCATTTTAGCCTTTTTGGCCAGGGTGAAGGGTGCATCTGCCATCAAACAAGAAGACAGCCGCATGTAGCTATGATGGTGTTTGCTACTTCACCTTACATGCATTAATGTAATAACGTGGTTAGCCTACTCAACGTAAATTACACACGAACAACATTAAGCTACTCACGCAGAGAAGAACGGCTGCTGCTGCATCATCATCCTCATCATTTCTGCTACACTGGCAGGGCTAGGAGCCAGGACTCTCCTCTTCGTGTTTTTGGGGGATGTTGCTCCGGGTCATAACAGGCACCACACCCGCAGTAGATGTGCTCGGTGTGAGGTCTCGCAGCAAGCTATCAAATACGGCGCATTTCTGGGCTTTTAAAAAAAACGCTATGCGTCGCCAGGTGTTTCATCAGATTTGAGGTGTTACCTCCTTTGACAGTTTCACAGTATCAGCTTAAAGCACTTGTTGCTGCTGAGTTTGCATCTTTTGCTGTGAAGTACAGCCAGACTTTTGACCGCTTCACCTTGGACATTTTTAATCTGTAGCTCTGCTCTAAAAGAATGTACGTACCTGGGCCCGCCTACTATCCTCGAAATGTAAAATGATTGGCTAGAATCTAAAGTGTATGACAGCTCAGGAAAAAAAGCACCGAAATAAAGCACTGAAATGTGCGCTGCTTTTCGGTCTGGTTACTACCGTTTATGTCACCGGATACCGTTACCCATCCCTACATATAACAGAAAATCAACACAGGACGACATAAAGTGCAATGTGCAAAAATTGTAAAAAATCAAAACAAAGACAGAATAAAATGATATTGTGTGTGTGTGTGTGTGTGTGTGTGTGTGTGTGTGTGTGTGTGTGTGTGTGTGTGTGTGTGTGTGTGTGAGAGAGAGAGATCACAGCAACAGGTTCATGGCCTCACAGGCAGCTCACGGACAGGATGGAAGTAGTTTGTGCATGAAAAGCAGAAGTCCCAGTTTGTCACTTCAGGTTTGACTGAGCTGTTTCCAGAAGAGCTAAAATAGACGTCCAGCTGCTGAGATCAGTTCCACTCTGTTGAGTTTCTTTGTGACTGTTTCCTGCCGGTATCATTACAGGTCATTTTAGAGTTTTTTGAGTGAAGCAGCTGCAGCGTCCTGATGATTCCTCCTTTTATCGTTGCTGTTAAAGCAGAAATAACCAGATTATAAAGGAGTCTCACTCATGTTTCTGCACTCTCATCCAAAGACGGTTCTGTGCTTGGACCATGTTTGTTTATTTTTTACAGGTTAATGTTCAGTCTCATGTCTCTGAGGTGTATCTTCTTTGCTGATGACACAACTTTATTGTAGTCAGGAACATTTACAGCAGCTTCTGGATCCCATGGAACGTGAACTGGTGACTGTTAGTAAACTGCTTTGATTGTAACACATGCTATTCACCTCTCTCTTCACTTAGGAAAAAATGTTTAATATTAGGAAATCACTCATTAAATATTCACAAAAAAATGTAACAAATGAAGTTTCACAGCAATATTTGTGACCCGAGACAAACATCAGCTGGATCATTTTACTTTGAAAAACTTGAAAAAACATGATAAAGTTGCTGTAGTTTTAGGACACTGACATAGTCGTGTCATCAGACACTCAGAGACTGGACTGACACACACACACACACACACACACACACACACACACACACACACACACACACACCAAGTTACTTTTCAAAATACTTAGCATTTTGCACATTTCCATTGCACTGTGTTGTCTTGTTTATTTGCAATTTTTTGCACATTGCACTTTACGTAGTCGTGTGTTTGTCTGTTATATGTCATGTGTAGCACCAGGGTCTCAGAGGAAAGCTGTCTCATTTTACTCTGTACTGTACCACTGCACATGGTTGAAATCACAATAAAGCCACTTGACTTGTATATCTGTACATTGTCCGTACTACATCTGTATATTTGCTTTTTGTATAGCAATATAAACATCTGTACACTTAGCTTATTTGTACATACTCTGTTCATAACTGTCCCCACCTTTCACACTATCCTTATCTGCATATAATCTGCTCTTATTGCACTTACTGCTCTTGCACATCTGATTAGATGCAAACTATATTTCAGTCTCTGTTTATACATTTGTAATGACAATAAAGTTGAATCCTAATCCTAAAGTCAACAAATTCATCATTTATTTAATTAAATGCAATGAAATTTAAGGATTTATTAGATGATAATATTAAAAGACATAGAAGACATCCAGAAGCTGTTTGAAACGAGGGATAAAGGAGGGCTCGAGTGACCTTACAGAGATAAGCAGAGGAGAATGGATGGATTTAGTGTTTGAAGCAGAGGTTTTGTTGGTTTGGTCTCTTTCTAACGTGTTTATTGGGAAGACAAACAGATGCCTGACTGACATGTGCACTGTGAGTGTATTAATAAAAACTCACAGAAGGCTGAAGTCACCACACAGAGCAGACTGTGTGAAACAAATCAACAGTGTCCAAATAAAGTGAATGATTAAACTCTGAATGGAACATTTAAATGAAAAAAAAAAACTTTACAAAAGAGGAAGTGATGTCACAGACGTCACAGAGCAGTGTGATGTTGACTCATGTCATTACATGCTGACCTTTGATGACTTTTGTTTAGCTCCTGTGCCGTTTAAACCATTAACTATGAAATAATCACCAGAAAATAAAAAAAATTATTGAATGTTTATTGAACCTTCTGACGAAACATAAAAAACAGAACTTAAAAATGTAACATTCATTTGCATATGTGAGTTTTAATTTGTATCACATTTGCTGCATCCAGCAGGTTATTGTGTAAAATGTAAAATGACGATGTAGAAGTGTGAAAAACTCACGCATCAAATATGAGACACTTGGAGTTAAAGTTATTATTTTGCTTTTCTTCAATCTGCTATTTGCTGACATGTTCAAATAATTTGTTGGTTAGTAAAGAAACAAGTTGATAAATAATGAAGTGAGATTAGGACACAGTTTGGTGCTTTCTGTCATCAAACAGGACTGAGGAGGAAAACCAGCTCAGAGAGTTTGAAGGTTCTTCAATGACACAGTAGAAGAAGAGCTGTGAGGCCACAGTAAAGTTTCAGAACTGAACTAACTCTGTCGGAGCTTCCACAAACACTGATCAACACACTTATTAAACCTCCTGTCATCTAACCCTCGTTTTTGCTGAGTTCTCCCTGTTTTACCTTTTGGAATCTGAATCTGTTTTTTATAAATCCAAATTTGAGCCGACACACTGGACAGCTCAAAAAAACTCAAAAACACAAAGTTCCTCTTCAGGGATGAAAGTAAAAAACTGTCATTTGGAATCTTAATGGAATACAATCTGGTTTAATTTTATCGTTTTATCCATGGAACTGAAAATTCATGGATCTGAGCATTGAAATATCATTTTTTTAAAGAGGTCGTGCACACTGCTGGATTGACTGTATTTAGTCAGCCGTGGCAGAAACCTGGGTAATAACTATGATAATCTCCTAAAACTACATGGCTTTTTTTCTCCTGCTGATTAAAATAAAACCTTAACAAAGCTGAAGAACTCAAAGTGCATCAACCGTTTCTTTCACCATCATTCTGTAAAACGCCGGTGAACGCTCCCAGTGTTTGATACCATATATCCCAGTGTGCCCTGAGAAATGATCAGGTGTGCCGTGGACGATTATCTGGTTCCACCTGATTAGTCCTCGAAGTAATCGAGTAACGGGTGGAACAATTACATTCTCTTCCACTAGAGGGCAGTACAACTACCAGCTCTATTTAAATGAGTTGCCAACTGGCAGTAAAACAATCGGACCTGGTTCTGGAGAAAACTCAGATGCAGATGAAGGTCCTAGCAGGAGTAGTGGTCAGAAGAAAGTAAAACAGGTACACTGGGGACAAACCGAGCCTGGTGTGCAGGGAAAAACTATCAATATACTTTCTGTGATATTTTTGTTGGTGGTGTGATTTTTCCAATGTGAAATATGTGCCGTGGCTCCCAAAGGTTGGGAATCAGTGGTAAATAAATGAAATGCAGTAAATAACTTGAGAGAGGTGCACAGAGATTTCAATGTTTGAAGATGCTAACAATGTCAAACAAAGCTTTCATCCAATAATTCAGTAATTCATCAGTAATTTGAGGGTTATTGATCGATCAGTGAACAGATCAGGTTCTGATTGAGAAACTCAGAGTGAGGACTTCAGAGTTTTCAGCTTTAGAAACATTTAATTCTATCAGAGGATCCGTCCGCTCAAACATAATGCTCAGTGGTGTCATCATGCTCGTCAACATCCAATGGCATCTCCATGGAGACAGCATGTTTGTTACCTGTGGGCAGAGTGGATAAATCAGGACAGTGCTGACGTGATCAAAGTGTTTCTGTGAGTATCTGCCTGAGTTTGTACCTGAGCTCCTGCTGCAGCAGATGGACAGGAGCAGGATGGTGCAGATGCAGGACGGGCAGAAGGCCAACAGGTGGCAGACGACTCTGATCCAAGACACAGAGGGAGAAGAAGGGGAGGAAGAGTTGGTGAGAGGAGGAAGAGTGGACAGAGAAGAACTGGCCTCAGAAACTGGAGGTGGAGGGACGGACTTTCTGAGAGTAGTTATAGGAGACCCTGCAGGAGACATGATGAAACAGGTTAATGAGTCAGCTCAGCAGGTCAGGTCTTTAAACACAGAGTTATGTCAGTGTTCTGACCTCGGACCCTCAGAAAGCTCTGAGGAGATGATCCAAATGTGTTAGAAGCGCACCAGTAGAGACCTTCATCAGAGTGCCTGACATTAGGGATAACGTGTTCTGCTTTAGACCCAAGAAGACGTCCATTCATGAAGAAAAAAGATGGAACTGTTTCACCACTCTTCTTCTTGCATTGCAGAGTAACATCACTTCCTGGTCTCACAGGAAGTGCAGGGATCTCCAGGATCACACCTTTTTCTGAATAGCAGATAAACAGAGACAGACTTCCACCATCAGATTGGAGTCACACAGAGACAGAGACACAGCTGGAACATCTCACTGTACCTGAAACACTGATGGACACTTCATCGCTCTGCTGTCCAGATGAGCTTTCACACCAGAAGGTTCCACCGTAGGACGAGTTACGATCCAAAACGCACAAACTTCCACTCATCTCAGCTGCTCCACAGTCCTCAGTGGGTCCTCCGCTGGTCATCTTCACTGTCCATCCATCAGCTGTCTGTCCATCATCAACACAACTCAGAGACACTGAAGATCCACTGAAGACCTGCTGAAGGTTTGGACTGACAGACAGAGACACTGGAGGACAGACAGACAGATAATCACCACCAAAGAGGAGAGGACCAGCGTCACGATGATCATCAAACTTCACACCGACCTGCATCAAAACCAGAATCCAAATGTGCAGCCAGCTCACATGGGCATGGTTGCCATGGTAATTTGAATTTGACAGGATGCAGACCAATTAACTCTTTACTTGGCATGACTGACTACAACTGATAGGTGGGGGATGGCAACTATGGAGATGCCAGGGGAAAAAGAAGAAACCCAAAGAGTAGGTTCATGGATGTCTTGAAGGAGGACGTGCAGAGGGTTGGTGTGACCGAGGAGGATGTTGTGATAGGATGAGATGGAGGCAGATGACCTCCTGTGGAACCAGCTAAAGCAGCAGCCAATAGAAGACGAAGAGGACGACACATGAAGAAGACTGCCACTTATTTCAAAGTTCTCATCCAGAAATTTGGCTTGCCCTCTAAGGAACATCCTTGAAACCTGGGAGACCTACAAAACGTTTACCCTGAATTTCAGGGAGAGGTGGACCACCATCATATCCCTTTATAAATAATGATAACAAAGAATCCACTTAAGGAAAAACTTTTATTTCTATCTTCTTTGTCTATTTAGTTGGCAAAACTGAATTTCTGTTGAGGTGATGTTGTTTTCACATACTGCTGTTTAGTATTTGGTTTGTTCTGAATAAATATCCATGTAGCTTGCCATCACCAGTGTGTGAATGTAATGGGTGGATGACTGGATATGTAAAGCGCTTTGGGGTCCTTAGGGACTAGTAAAGCGCTATATAAATACAGGCCATTTACCATCCATTTATTTCACAGTGAACCAATGAGGATGCTTACACCAGCTGTCAGTGATCAAAAAACCAGGGCACATCATGGACAGGTTGGCAGTCCATAACAGAGACATCACTGTCAGTTAATCTAACAAGACTCAAACTCTTGACCTTCGTGGTGTTTGGTGATGATGCCAAACCTCCACGACCATGCCAACTGTCAGAATACCATTCTGCTTAGTGTGTGTATTAGTTAGAGTGTGTATTAGTTAGTGTGTGTATTAGTTAGTGCTGTATAAGGCAGGGTGCTGGAAAGGAGAGTCCGTCCACTAGTCGACCCATTGCTATGGATCATTAGATCCTCATAAAACCGTTACAAGACCTTGGTCCTCATAGCTGGCAATAAGTGGAACTCGTTCCCAGTGGGTCTTGGACTCTGCCAGGGTTGCCCTTTGTCACAGATTGTGTTGGTTTGGGCATCTGACCAGGATGCCTCCAGAGCATCTCCTGAGTGTTCCTGGCATGTCCACATCTCACCCAGGAACACTTTACTACTGTTTCCATTGTTTCTCCTGCCACTTGGTGTGATTTTCTGAAAACATGAAATTTCATTTCATCTATATGCTGATGATTGCCAGCTTGATCTACCTTTCAATCACTCTGATAGCTCATCGATTGGACTCCTGCTTGTCTTAGCAAAGTTAAATCATGGATTTAAATGTTTTACATTTTTATGAACAAAAAGTGGAAGCAATTTTATTCAGTCCCAATCGTTCTTCTGGTATCCCAAATGTTCACTTTGCTGCTCTGAGCCCTCGCTTGAAGAGCTCTGTTACTAATCTTGGGGTAAAAATCGACACTGCACTTAGTTTTGATGGCCACATAAATGGGGTGGTGAAATCTTCATTCTATCACATCAGATCGAAGCCAAAGCCCTTTCTGTCCAGGCATGAACTTGGAAACTGTGATCCATGCTTTGTCACCTCTCGCTTCGAATACTCCAACTCTCTTTTAATGGGGGTTGGCCAAGCCACTCTGTCATGCCTGCAACTGGTGCAGCACGGTTTTTACCTCATTTAGTTCAAAATATATTGAGAAATGTACCAACACACATACAGTATGGCTCAGTTAACCAGAGATTGAACTAAAGTGTGTCAATACAAATAACCTCTGTGGCCATTAATGTTTCAACAGTTAGTATTAAAGACTATAAATCTTTAAATCATCAATTATAACTGTCAAAAATGTGTATGTGTCATCAGCATAAGAGTGGAAGAGCTTTGTTTAAGAACTTTTAAAGACCATTAAAAATCAGTACAATCAGTACGTAGTTTTGAGGCACAGGCAGATTTTAAAGGACCACACATGCCTCTGACACATCGTCAGATATTCGTATTCTGAGTTTGAGCTAAAGCTAAATGTAAATAAAATAACTTAATTTTTCTTTTGCAATTATTGTGCAAATGTATTCTAAATCAGCAAAGAATCAGTCTGCAGGAAATTGTTCTCTGACAGCCACACCTTGGAGAAAACTCATTTCCATCGTTTGCATCCACAATCTTATTCTTTCGGTCAAAGTCAGAGTTTGTGAGAATGGGTGAGGGTAGGGATGCAGATCGACTGATAAATCAACGGCTCTCTCTTCACCATGACGGACCGGCATCTGTCAGTGTCTGCATCACTGCAGTCGCACTAATTCATGCAGGAAAGTTTCTTTATTTTTGTGTCTGAGAATTTTATGTTTAATGTACAGTACGATTCAGTCACTATATGTCTTTTGCAATGTGATATTTTTATAAAGTATCTTGAAAAGTATTTGATATATGAAGTTAAAAATCCTTATATAAGGTCCGTGTTATGTGACATGGAATGACTGACCGTGCCTGCGTAAACTTATTAACAAAATGTTTGCTAATTTTAATCATCTCTGTCTTAACACTGTTGATATTTATAAATTTGGACTTTTCCCTACAAACCATTTATTATACGTACGTCATAATACAAAAAGTAAAAGACAGGATGTTTTATGCTTAACGCTTATTACCAAAAATATCAGATTATATTGTGAATAAGGGTGGATGTGTTGTTCTTTAATGCATCTGTGAACCATCCTGATACGTGGAAACAAGGGTGATGACAGACGGATATTTACTCTGGTAAATTATCCACAAAATCTACAACTTACTGTAAGTCTGTGACTACAGGGTCAATGAGGGACCTCTTCAAAGGGCTTTCCTTAAGATTAAGACTGGCGAACAGTTTATTTTAAAGACTTTAAGCAGTAAAAATGTATTAATGGAAAAAGTACAGCTGGTGGAGAACATTGTGCATATTGTGCATTCACAACCAATGAAAAAGGCCATATTTAAAAAGATTTATAACTTTATGAAGAACTAGAAGGGCACTTCCAAAAGAATGAATAACTCCGTAAAAATGAGTAATGTTGGAAACATGTAACTGCTCTGTATTACATGTAACTGCTCTGTATTACATGTAACTGCTCTATATTACATGTAACTGCTCTATATTACATGTAACTGAGTGGGATTACTGCTGTTAGACAAACATTTAGTATTGGCTCAGTTTATATGAAACGCACTCTGTTCTGTCACAGAGATCTGAATACTGGGAATGACTGCAGACTGTCTCCTGAAATCATAAATATAAACTTAGAAAAGACTCACCTGCAGAAACAGTCGGTGCAGACAGCAGCAGCACACACACACCTGCAACAGGAGGGCAGAGGTCACTGAGGGTCAGAGGTCAATGAAAGCTCAGTTCAGAAATGATGCTGTTTTAGGATTTTTATGTTCCTCGACTGAAGGAAAACCAGAACTCTGAGCAGAACAGGTACTGAGCTCATGTGCCTGCAGATACTCAGGTGATACATCAGTGGAAGCGTCCCTGATGCACTCATGCAGACGTGCTGTCTGAGCGCGTGTTGGATGAAGCTGTAAGGATGTTCACTCACCCCGGAGCAGACAGACGGACGCAGTCTTCATGTCTGAGTGACGACTGAGAGTCTGAAGCCTGAGCAGCAGAGACGCTTTCAGCTTCATCATCACTTCCCTGTTACACGCTCAACACTTCCCTCTGCTCCACGCTTTCACTACTCGTCTGACTGAGCTCAGTCAGAACGCACCTGCACAAAATCAGGCATCAAGTGAAGAATCCCTCTGTTACACCAACATCACAAGTTCATTATTAAATGATCTTTTTTCCATGTAATCCTGCATCTTAATCATAACAAGTGACCTCCTCCTGGTGTGTGAGTACAGATCCTGTCTGCCAAACAGAGACATTATTCAACGTTACTGACACAGGACCAAATCACAACAACAGTCGCCTCAAGGTGCTTTATATTGTAAGGTAGCTCCTTCAGTAATACATACAGAGAAAAACCCAACAATCATATGACCCCCTATGAGCAGCACTTTGGTGACAGTGGGAACAAAAAGCTCCATTTTAACAGGAAGAAACCTCCAGCAGAACCAGGCTCAGGGAGGGGCGGCCACGACCGGTTGGGGTGAGATCACACTTTAAAGTGTCACTAGTCCATCATAAATCATGCAGACAGCGTCACAGATCTGAAGAGAAACCTACAAAACAGCAGCATGTGGCCTCACCTGTGCTTCATCATAGTCACAGTCAGAGACAGGATCACTGAATCAGCAGAAATGTCTGGAAACTCACCTTAATCCTGAACATTTCCACCTTTAACGCCACCATCGCCCTGAACTGGGCTGGAATATTAACGGGGATAAAATAAAAACCTACAATAACCTGGTTGCATTCAGGTGAAGACCCCTAAAGGTGTTTCTCAAACTCTGTAGAAGCACCTTCAGATTTTTGCCCATGTTTGCAGTAACATTGCAGCTCTATGAGCGCCCTCGCCTCTGTCAGTGCGCCCCAGGGCAGCTGTGGCTACAATGTAGCTGCCATCGCCAGTGTGTGAATGTGTGGATGACTGAATGTAGTGAGAAGCGCTTTGGGGTCCTATGGACTAGACAAGCGCTATACAAATGCAGGCCATTTACCATTTACCTCATCAGGTCACCCCACAGGTTTCAGATGGATCATCTAAAACTTTCACCTTCTTCTGGTGTTTCCTGCTTTTGTTTAGTGGATGTCTGCTCTGGGTCACTGTTGGACTGACAGGTTAGCTGACGGTGTTCAGATATTCATTGTGGATTTAAATATATGCCCATTTGTCCTGCAGCGTCAGATTTTGGTCCTGCACAGTGCTGCGACTCTCAGTTTGTATTTTTATCCTGCACGTCTCTACATGATGCTCCTGAAACTGTTTCTGTTTCTTTTCCTGCTTCATCTTTTTCCTTAAAAGGTGTCGTGATGGCGAGCCGTGACTGATGATGGGAAGTGATGAACTTTCAGTCTGTGTTGGTCGGGTCTGATTTAGAGGCGGGTGGATTGATCCAGATATGAATTGTAGTCGATCAATGCTTTGTTTCTGTGTTCAATATGTAGCCCACAGAATTGTGTTGCTTTTGTTTGTGATGGGGGGAACATGAAGTATGTAAAATGTGTTTGTGTGCTGAGTCTCTTTTGTTTACAGCCTGTAACACATTTAGGCAGGAAGCTTACTGGTATGTTTGACTGTGTTACTCATTACTGTGGAAAGTCACAGTCACAGTGGGTTAGTGGTCATTATGTCATTAATGTTCTGCATATAAAGTTTAAATTTCTTCAGTATTGAACAGCAGAAATGAGGCTTTCTTGTCCGAGGTCATTTAAGTGAAAAAAGAAAAAGACAGCGCTGTAAACAACGGTAGACTGGTGGGTAATAAGCAGAGATGGGCAGTAACGCGTTACTGTAATCTGATTACTTTTTTCAAGTAACAAGTAAAGTAAGGGATTACTATTGAAAAAAGGGTAATTAGATTACCATTACTTTCCCGTAGGAACGCTGCGTTACTGCGTTACTAAAACCGTGATTTTTTTGCGAGAATGTCTCATGACAGTGACGTAAGCGAGTGCGACGTTAGTGACAACAGCTGTGTGCAGATCAACAATGGATCACATATGGAGTGCAGAGAGAGTATGAGCGTGCAGCGTTTAAAGCGTGGAAGCACTGACCTTACTTTGAGTTTGATTCCATAAAAAGTGACAAAAACATTAGTGTCCGCTGTGCGTGGGAAGAAAACTTCTTTTTACAGCGAAAAAACCCCTAAACTTCCAAACAAGCTCCGAGTAGCTACGACGTGATGGGAAACTCACAGAGAAACTCGCGGATTCTTCAACTGACTTCCACTAGGGCCCAGAACTGTTCTTTGACTTTTTTCTAAAATTATTTTAGCACAAATTGTGATTAGAAAACATTTCAGGTTAGTTTGTGTATTCATCCAAAGAACTGCTGTGTGAACTTTAATAGCTGTTTAAAAGTCAAACACAGCAACAGGTGGTGATGACATTACAACTACAACATAAGTCCAAAGACACAGAAGTTACAAAGCTACACAAACAGAATTAGTGTAACAGTCAGAGAGCCGATCGCTTAATGTGGGCGTTTCATTAAAGACAAAACAGCAGATGATCTGAAGGACAAAGAGTTCCTGAGAAGGACACAAACAGCAGAGCTGATCTTATCACGACTCCCACGTACAGCTCAGTCCTACCAAGGTGGAAAATGCTTTCACGTTTTCTGTTTGACTGCACATGAAAAGTTGTTTTTAATCCTGCTTCAGCCTCAGCAGCTCTGAGAGGTGAGCGCAGAGACAAACAGACAGACACTTTGTGTTTGTACGCACAAACATGACCACAGCTGTGAGATCGCCAGACTGTCAACATTTACTGACACAGTGAGATGCTTCAGCTGAGGCTTTGTGGTCTGCTGAAATCGGCTCTCGCGAGGACGTGCATCCAGGCCAGAGGTCCCTCAGCCACCGCCACCTGAAAGAGCCACTTCCGTAAACAAAGCCAAACCTTATAAACAGTACCTTTGCACAACGACTGAAACTCACACCACTGAAGGAACAACGGGCTGTGAGGCCAGTTTATGATCATTAATATGCAAACTGTCTTGACCAATGATTAAAGACCAGCTAAGACTGAAGAAGTCACTTGGATGAGTGATGAAACGTTTCTCCCACTGTGTCCACATGAACAGAATCAACCTGTTTGGATACATACAGAAGGCAATTACATCTCCCAAAAACAAAGTCTGGGTAAAATCTCCTTTTTAATGCTGCTGATATATTTGAGGCTTTGCTGCAGAATGACGTCAGAGTCTGTTTCAGTGAGTCACCATGAGCCAGTCAGGCATAAGTTTATGACTACTGACACCTAACACTGATTATCTCTACATCATGGGACCTGTTAGTGTCATGCCGCCAGCAGCGTGTCCCCCTGTTACTTCCTGTCCTTCAGCTCCACAGTCTGGGATGATCAACTCACCTGTGGGTAACTGCATGATCAGCTGCTCTCTACTTAAGTTGGAGGAGGACACTAATTGGACGCCTGATTGTAAACAGGAAACAGTTGGTGGAAAAACCTTTTCTCCATCTGTGATTTGTGTGGACTCATTATTTTTCCTTTACATTAATAAGATGACTTTACCTTTAGCTTTGTTCGGTTTAGTCTTGACTTTAGTTCTTTCCAGTGTCTCTTGAGTTTATCTGTGTTTCTAGTACTTGGTGTCTTGTTTGATGTAAGGTCTCTCTCTGTGTCTGTGACACTTTTATTTAACTGTGTTCATCGTAGACTGAACTTTATGCTGCTGTAACACAAACATTTCCCCTGTGTTATCAATAAAGTATCTGTCTCTGATAAGCTTTCAAATTAAGGAGATCAAGTATAAGAATATGACCTAGCCACCTGTCAGGTACCTGCCACATGTTAATCAGCCATGATGGTTCTGTTTAAACAGGTGCTGACTGGGTAACGTGTCACACACTGAGCCAGCACACAGGAACAAGGAGGCTGTGATGGTGCTTCTCTGATTAAGTTCATCTGTCTCTTTATGATTCTGTGACGCAGACACGATCTCACTCAGGTCCCTGAGATCTGATCATGTGTTCATCACAGCTCCACCTGTCACTGCACAATCACCTCCATCACTGATGTCTGTGCTCACACTCTGCTGCCACCTAGTGTCTGTGTGTGGGTGTTACAGCCGCCTGTCCTCACAGCTGTAACACCCACCTGTTGTAACAACAAACCCACGGTGGGTGTGTTGGTGGGTGGATGTTATACCTTCAGCCTCATCATGGTGTTATTTCTGTACATCCGCTGATTCTGGTCATTTTTAAAAGGCTTCAACAAACTGTTTCCAGCTTTGCTGCATCTGAAACAGACTGAAGCAGGTCAGCCCTGTCTACTCTGACCTCACTTAGTCAGCTGACGTCTGCAGAATGAAGAAGCTGATGTTTAAATGAGGTTTTCCCTGAATATGTCCTGATAGCATTGATGTGACTCACCTCTCATCACCTCTCTGCTTAAAGCACCTGACCAAGGCCTGAAGTTCAAGCTGTTTTACATTTTTCACATTCATACTGATCATAAACAGGCGTGTTCATCGCAGCAGAATAATCTCTGTGATTCTGGATTAGACATCAGGGATTATTTGTCTTTGGTCACTTTGTTTATCAGGCCTCTCGACATTAATATGGTCATTACTAGGGATGGGTACCGGTATCCGGTGCCATCATGGCACCGGATACCATGCGCTTTTTTCCTGAGATACACACACACAGACACACACACACACACACACACACACACACACACACACAGACACACACACACACACACAGACACACACACACACACACACACACACACACACACACACACACACACACACACACACACACACACACACACACACACACACACACACACACAGTTTCTCTTACAGGAAGCAGGTTTGAGTGAAACTCTGAGTTTGTTAATCCTCAGATGAAGGAAACTCAGCTTTTGGTCCCAGTAAGAACGATAACTTGAACAGGGTCAGTTACCATGGCAACAGATGACACGCATCCAGAAAGCCATGACTTCTGATCTTTAGTACAAACATGTAAAGAGTGTGAAGGAGAGCATGTAG